CCCCCATAGCCAGTAAACCAGTAAACCAAAACAGTCCAGTGGCACCTTTAAGACCAAGTTTTATTCAGGCACAAGCTCTCCCTCCTCTGTGAGGACAGATGTGCACCTCCCCCCCCAATAGCTAGCAATCCAAAACAGTCCAGTGGAGCTGGAGCAGTGGATGTGGCCTTCTGACACACTTCCGGTGATGTTCAGGGGGATAGCCTGTTCAGGAACTGGAATGACAGGGCCACGGAGTGGATTGACAGCCCCAGGGTGTGCCAGGAGTGTTCGGGAACTGGAATGACAGCCCCAGTTTTCAGAATATTTTTTTCCCTGTTTTCCTCCTCTAAAAACTAGGTGTGTCTTATGGTCAGGTGCGTCTTATGGTCCGAAAAATACGGTAATTGTTCACTGTTTTCAATGTTACATTAACTTGATAGGCAAATATTTCTGTATTCTTATCATGACTATATGAGACAATTTTGGTCCAAATATAGTATTTCCTTTTGTTTACTACAAAATCTGTGTTATCTATTTTCCACTTTTATTTTCTCCTACATCTCAGCAAAAAGATATGCTACATACAGTAGAGTAGTAGCACAGGGTGCAACAGTTTGCAGCTGTTTCTCTAATAATGGGTATATTTGTAATGTGGCTTGTAGATAACTTCCAGTTTGAGGGAAAGCAAATTGTATATTTAACAACTTTAAACTAATGGGAAGTTTTAATTACTATACAATCAGAATTAAGAACTGTACCGTGTGATCCTATGAATTCATAGGCTTAGAAGGGTGTAAGTCGGTTTAGGATTGCATTGGTAACAAGGTGACTTTTGATACAAAGTGGATTGTTAAATGTGAACGTTTATGTTACTTACCTGTTTCTCTGTTCACATCAAGGACAACATAAAAAGGTTATTTTGCACACAATTATTAACTGCTTTTACTCTAGAAACATAGTGGAAGAGAACAGATATCTGGAACTGGATTTAAATGAATTATCACTTTTTTGTGGTTTACTAAAGTCTGTGCTAGCTGTTAAACACAGAAAATGGCAACCCTCCTAGAACTACATTGCTGCAAATGTTACAAGCTGTCCCCAGCTACTCTGTATGAAAAGCTTTCAGAAATACAGTATTACTCGCATTTGAAAAGCGAATGGATGTGTTCCATTTTAAATTCGTTTCTTCAAAAAGGCAAGTTGTTTGCAAGGTCTTGCTCAGCTCACTGAGGACACTAATCCAAGTTGGCATCTGAAGACACAGCCCTGGCCTGTGGATATACTCTGGGAAATCAGACAGGATCTATCCACACATACACATGATGGATGTTTGGCCCCAAATCAGTGGATATATAGGGCAGAAACTCCAGGTATTGTTTTTGCATCACTTGAACTCAGTGGAGCTTGGAAATTTATGATATGCTGCCAAACGTTGATATTTAACGAAACTAAATAAAACAACAGCTATATTGAGGTTGCTGACTGGCCTGGGGTTAATAAGTTTGAAAAACTCATTCTCAACAGTGCTAAATGACGTTTTCAAGTGCTGCTGGTTTTGAATAAATTAGCAAAAACAAAAAAGAAACAGAATAAAGCTAAAATGTCACTATCTACTGTGGTATGTGACCACATTCCATACCATAACAATCCAACTGCACTAATCTCTAGTAATAGTTAATGGTAGACCATAAAATAATTATGCTTTGCCTAATGGGTTATTGCCACTATGTGACACAGAGTGTTGGACTGGATGGGCCACTGGCTTGATCCAACATGGCTTCTCTTATGTTCTTATGGTCTAAGGGATGGGGATCTCATCTTTTGCAAAGAGACTTAAAGTATCATTCTGCTTTCATTTTCTTAATCTCATAGGATTTTACATTGTAACTACAGCACATAATTTCAATGGTTCATTAAAAAGCAATTATGCAGTACGGTAAACAAGAACTGGTCTAGTGTACAGCCCTTATATTACACCATTTCCTGTATTCAGCCAAATACTGTATTTCACATTTAAGTGGCTTAATTATTCACAAGCAGTAAATCAAATTATAAACTTGTTTCTGAATTGTATCGTTTCAGATTGCTGGGCAGGGTCTAACTTGATTTAATGCTCCTCCATACCAAAAAGCCCCTGCAAAAAATTTCCACACAGAAAGTTTAATGTTAGGGAGCAGAATTTTAACTTAGTCTTCTGCCTGACATGCCAGTTTTCTAGGTGTATTTTTGTTGTTATTATGACAGAGCATTCACCAATGTGATCTCTCATCTGCCAGCAGAAATGGTACAGCCTGGAAATCACCTAATCTGCTACTTCTGAGTACTAGGCCACAGCACAATATTTATTTGCCTATTTAGGCTGTTTATATGACATGTAAACTGTAAAAACTGTAAAGGAATCATAGCATAATAAAAAGCAGTCAGACTTAAATTCAGAGTAGTGTACAGTACTGGAATAAAACCTTCAATATACACATTAATAAGTTTGCCTAATATAATGCACACATATGTCACATACACACACAAGGTCTGAGATAAAACATCAAAATAGACAAAAAAGTTGGACGTTTCCAGAATGCATTCATAGTGTCATCCAAGCAGAGCTACACCCTTTAATGGGCTTAGAAGAGAGCAAAGCTTAAGATGGCACTATAAAACTCCTTCAGCAATACAATACAATGGTACTATACATATAGGATGGAAAGAAATTAGAAGTGTTGCTAGGTATCAGGTAGGCATTGCTAGGTTTCCATACGTTCTGTGTCACTGAAATGTCTGTCAGTCAAGATTCTATGCTACTATTTAAGGCCAACTCTGAGTGCAGAAGAAGTTGATTCTTCATACAAAAGCTTTTCAGATGGCCACCATGTAGACATAAAAAGACAATAAAAAGCAGCAGTTCAAAAGAGGAACAATCAAACCAGACTAATGAACTGCAACAAAACAAAATTTAATAATCACTGCTGTACAGCACAAATGTACTCTGCTATCTAACAAAATTTTATTCCGTTATATTTGTAGTCCATCCTTCCTCAAAGGCCATCTAAATAGGCAAACATGATCTTTTTTTCCTTTACAAAAGAGCATTTCATTGATGGCCAAATCTTATTCTGCTGTTCATGTGAATGTTCCCCCAATTTCAAGATGAGAAGATACTAAAAACACAGGACTTGAAAAGGATTTAGAATCTCTCCACAAATTTTGGCATTAAATTATGGTATAGTTTTGCTACAGGACATTATTTATGTTCAGATGAAGACATTCCAATCAGACATCTAATTGGCCACATGTCAGGATGGGTACTTGTAAACTGAGACTTAGTACACTATGCCCCTCTTCCCTAGATTAAGTAGTAGGATGCTGAAAACAAACGCTAAAGGATAAGTGGTATGTTAGTTTGACAATACTCTACCTTTGTTTCTGCTGCATGGGTTGCTGTCTCATAGCCATATATTGCATGTCCTCTTGTAGACGATTAAGAGGAGAGTCTGGCTTGACACGAATCCCATAGTAATGATATTTGGAGTTCCCCCTTTGGGAAAGAGCAAATATTTAAAACTTACATAACCTGAAATTTATTGTGTACCCTCTGGCTTGTTCTTAAAATCTTGTAGATTTCACATTAGTCCTACCTCCTGCTGTTTCATGCTGGATGGACTAAATATAGACAGATGTAGCTGTGTTAGCCCCAAAGCAAAAGAATTACAAATCGGATCATGTGACATTTTCATCACACTAATTTTTGTTGCTGTGGGAGTAAGCAAATCTTCACACAAAAGGGAAAGCCTGTTGAATCCTAGATATTTGTACACTGAAATTGTTTACAAATAAAAATATTTTATAACCATTTCATATACTGGTCTGTTCACGATTTTTTTTAAAAAATTCAAACAGTGTCTTAAAGAGCAGGGGACTGTCAATTATTGTAAAGACTAAGGAAACTAATTATTCAATTGCTGTTCACAGTCTGCTTAAATTCCATTAAAGTCAGTGGAATTTAAGCAGCCCAGCTGTGTGCAGGATTACAACTAATATGTCTAATTTTACTCATTATCCTTTGGTTGGAAAAGCAGTACAAATCACAATTCTTATGCCTTTGAAATGTGTTGTATAGGTTTCCTTTTATGACATCATCATCAAAAGGCAGGCGGTCATACTTGGCAAAATATTTGCCACAAGTAATAAAAAGCTCAACTCATTATGCCAGATCATGTATTCTCCAAATATTGTTTGATTCACACACACACAGCACCATGCAGTGGTGTTTGGGACCATTATTGCATACATAAAACATGTTGCAGCAATGCACAAGCTCCCTTGTAGTCTAAAATGTGTTATCTGGACTGTTCATATTCACTGCGCAAGATGTGCCTGCAAATCTCACACTTTTGTTTCAAGGAGAGTTTGAGCAAACTCTCTCTAATAACTATGTTAGGCTGAAAGTCAAAAAGAAGGGGAGATTCTAGGAAATACTTTTCATATACTTATATAACATTAACTCTAGTTGTTAGATCTTAGATGTTTTGCAGTACAGTCCTAAGCAGAATTCCATCTTTCTAAGCCCACACTCTTCAACAAATTTAGAAGATTATAACTCTGCTTATGATTGCAATTTCAATCAGAACATATCCACTAACTCATATAGAGTCCCATTTGTATCATGTTTTTAAAAGTCTTAGCTAAATTGATAGAAAACTGATGACTTGCCAACATTTTATAAATAGAAATTAGAGAAGAAGGTGCTTAGCACTCATTTTGATATACTGCCCCTGTAGTTTATTTAGAAAATAATGTTTTAAAAAGTTTAATTTTTATTGGAGTTCAGAGTTATGCAAGAATTCTCTCACTTACAGCTCTGAACTCTGTTTCTTTACACTAACCTGGTTCCCAATCTCCTGGTCCGTAGGCCCATGAAAATTGACCTTATTAGCTTTCCAAAAGAAGCAGCATTGACTGGGTCCAATTTATGCTCTTGACAGTGTCTCAAGTAATGGTTGTAGAGGGTGCTTCTGGGCAGACTCACTCCTTCTGCCGTTTCATAGTTGTCTAAAAGCCACTGGAGCTATTTCAAATAGGAAAAAAGAAAAATGAACAAGATCTTACAGAAAGTTATGTTTTCACAAATACCAAGATGGCACTTCAAATTGGCTTATCATAACTTTTTCTACCCAGTAATTTTCCACAGAAAAGCTGAATGCCTCACATTTTCTTAAGATAATATTACCAATGCAGGGAAATATCAGAACTCATAACACTTGTGACCTCAGACAATATCTAATTCTTTGAGATAATGTTAATTTCATGTCTACTGATACATAGCGTGATGTAAAGTTATAGGTCCTGAGAGAATTTAAACAATATTGAAAGTAATGCACACAAAAATGAATTCTTATGAAAATTGTCTCATGTTTCTGTAAAAGCTTAGAGTGGTGAGTTTAAGATTTTTTATTGAGCAAATCTTATATTTTCCTATAAAACAGTGGAAATTTATGGATTAAATCTACTCCTATTCAGAGATGTGCAGTTCTAGGAGAAAAACATTATTTGGAGGGGATGGGACTTCTTCCACACCTTGCCACCAGGACATATACAGCATATTTTTGTATAAGTTATTCACATTTTTAAATGTGAATAATTTTGGAAACAATTAAAATGCTATAAAGTGCTTGATGATAAATTGTTAGAGTTCAGTGTTTTCAATGCTATAAAGTTTAAAAATGATAACCAAATATGTTAGTAGTCCCATCTATTGTGACTGTATAAAACCATTTCTTTCCAAATACCACACTTTCTTTCATTACTACAATGGTAACTTGATATCCGTCTATTCTGATTGTGACTACATGAGGCTTTTACCCAAATATAATATTTCTTCTGTTTACGACAAAATTTGTATTTTCTTATTTCAACTTTTATTTGTTCCTACCTCTCAGCTGGCAAAAATCAAGATATATGTGCTAAAGTAGTATGGGGTACTGCATTTTGCAGCAGTCTCCAATTTTGCTTGGAGATCTGTATTTTGCAAGGCATTTATACCTTTAAATTTCATAAATAATCCAAATTAGTACAATATATTGCATATATAAATGTATACAATACTCACTTTCTTAGCAAATCAAAACTTATTTTACTATTTAATAAGTTTTGATTTGATAAGAAAGTGAGTATTGCATATATTTTTATTTACCCCACATTTCTGTCACCCCTCAGTCCCTCAAGAAATAAGCCTTTCCCCCCATGGCTTCAAAATTTCTTGAAATTTTACATCTCTACTCTTCAATACTGTATTACATTCAATTGCAGTGATGACTAACTAGGACACCATAATATTTTTACTAGAGTATGGGCACTAAATCTGCAAGCAGGAAGAAAAACATTAATATGAATATTAGTTAGAGGGTACATTTTATATTGTTATATGCTTGCAAAACTACAGATAATAGTCATCACGGAAAAAAGAAATGAAGGGATGGATCCTATGCACCGATAAGTGTAGATTTCCCCCACTTTCTCCCAGCAAACACCAAAAAAATAATACTGGGAGTTGGGAGGTTCCATGGGGACAAAACAGTCACACAACAGAGGCGGCTGCAGTGAGGGGAGGGATGAAGAAAAAATTGTCCTTACTGTCTGATCTGCCACCTTCTCTTCACCAGAGAGGGTGGGATGATTTAGCACAGGGGCCTGCAGCCCATGTCCCCAAAGCCAAATATATTTCTAAATAGAACCAAATGTGACCTTTTTAAAAAGGAACTGAAATCTTTACATTAAATTATATTTGATGGGTAGATAGAATGGAAGAATAACCAATCCATACAGAATGGCAGACATTTCCTCACAGGTCATAGGCCCTGGGTTCAATGCTGTTAGGAAGCATGTATTTTCCCTGCTTCCCCACAGCATCATGATATATTCACACAACGCATAGAGTTTCCCACCTTCTCACCAATCTTGAAAAAGCCTAGTTTGCTCTGAAGTTTTGGGAAAGATTGAAGTAAATCCTGGATGGCTATTGTATAGGTGGGAAAATTTGGATTTTCCTGCCCACGTGGCTGTCATTTCCCCCAACACTGTCCCTGTAGCAGCCATTTCCTCCCTCTGCCACCGAGTGTATGTGTACTGAAATCATACTAGAGCATTATTAAACTGATGTAACACTGTAACAACGTGTGTAATAAATTCTCTGAATTCCCAGTTTTCATTTAAAAAAGCAAGTCTGTAGATCCTTTTGTTGTAGATTTAAGGGGAAAGGTGTATTTCTGCACCAGTAGGGGCTAGAGACTTATTTTTTACAAAAATAAAAACTGGGAGTTCAGAGAATCTGTTACATGTAATGCTGCAACATTGTACCAACATAATGATATTTTAATATATATTTTTAATTACAAAAGCCCTGGCAGTCAGGAGAGGGTGGGTGACCACTGCTGAGGGTTTAGGGCAGGGAAACTATGTCAAAAACCCTGTTGCTATTGGTCTTTATTTGCAGCTGCACCATCAATAAGAAAACTACACTACCCTGTCCCTGTACTTTCACAGGAATAAAAGACTTATTAGAAATGCTTTATAGAAAGGGAAATTATAGAGATGGCCAGTAATCCAAGTGAGAATCATGCACAGAACCATGCAAGCATACTAAAACAACCATGCAGGTGCTCCTGCTTAACTTTATTACTTATTGCGAGGCCTCATATGTGCCACTTCCTAATGAAAGATTCGCAACAACCAGTGTTTGAGGTGAATAAACATTATGGATTACTAATCAACATATCAATTCTCAATAATGTTAAAGTGTATACTTTGTTATACCAAATGGGCTTTCATTCTGGTGCTTTGTTGATTTCTTGCTCTGAATTTTGACATAGTTTGGCTCTTTACATATAAAATATTGATAGGCACTGATCTAGCATGTTTCTCCCTCCTCACAGCAGCTACCCCTATTGTGTGGGATTTGTTGATATGTGTATCCCAACTCCTAGCATTGCTTTTTTTTAATTCTCACAGCGGGAAAGGTGGGAAAGACCTGTGTCCACTAGCACCTTCCAATAAAACTGTGCTGAATTCATCAAGCATCAATGAACCCAAATGTACGGTAAATGACAACAGTACTATTTTATTAAAGTTATCGATGTCAGGTTTTACAGACTGTATGGAAATTCATGTTCAAGTCTGGAGTATCCAATAAAATTCAAACTTAAGGCACACAAGTACTTTTGTTTCAGAGATCACCAAAGTTTAGTCCAAAACAAATGTTAATATGAAGCAAACTTGTAGCATTTCATGAAAACACAAAATACTTGACCAACATGACTATTTAATAGAATTAAAATGACTACAGAATGCATTTAGTGAACAAATGGTAACAAACACTCTGTACAAGGCAGGTAAAGTGTATCATACAGTCAGTCAGGTAAAACACAGCTGTCATGTCAACATTACAAAGTCTAAACAGACACGAAAAAGAACTACAGTTTCTGGACAGAACATTGTGTGATTTTTAATTCTAGTATTTACAATATAGCAACTAAAATAGCAACTTCTTGAATTTGTTACCAGAGTTAACTAAGAGAACTTCTGTGATATAATGATGAAGAGATTGAGCTGTGAATCAGGAAGGCCCCAGTTCAGATCTTGCCTCGACCACAAACTCATTGCATGATCCTGCTCTAGTCACTATGTCTCAGTCCAACATTTGCAGTATGGGCCAAAACCAGAAAGAAGCCTAATCAGAGAGAGAACTGAATTCATACAAACCCAGATAGAAACAATGCTTGTTGGGAAAGAATAGCATGGATTGATATGCCAATTTTAACCACTTCTAAACTCTTCCTGACACATTAATAAAGAGGTTAGGGGAGCTCTTGATGGAGAAACAGGGTGGCTTTGTTGATAAGAGTATCTTTTTTCTGTTACATCATTCTTTCAAGTTATCTTCTGACGTAGAGTCTGCTGATCTAGCTATGCTGCTCAGTGCTACAGTAGCCTCTAGATTAGACTACTACAACACACTGTACATAAGTCTATCCTTGACAATGGCCCAGTCGCTTCAGATTGTTCTAAAATGTGGCAGTTGCTTCTATCATATAACACCTCTGTTTCAGCATCTACACTGATTACTTTACTGAACTGCTTCAGGGTCAAAGTCAGGGTGCTGATTTTTATTTCTAAAGCCCTAAATGCCTGGGATCATCATACTTAATAGAGTGCAATACATTTCTGTGTGCCAATTACATCCATCAGATCACCTCCGTTCTATACCCTCTTGCAAACCAGTATTCCTCTTGCTGGCTCAAGCAACGGCATTTTGGCTGACAAAACTAATGCTTTGTAACAGTCTACCTGAAGAGGTGCAGAGGGTACCAACACTTTTGATTTTTCATAAGGCATGTAAAGGTGCCCCATTTCAGAGCACCTTCTTTTGAGGCTAATGAAGTAGTAGATCTCTGTGGCAGATAACAACGGATAGTTACGTATGCTCTTGAATTACAATATTGTTTTTATTATTTCCCTTGCAATTTGGTATTGCTTTGTAAGCCACCTTGAGTTCTTGGGAAAAGGCAGGTTATAAATGTTCTAAGAAGTAAACATAGTTGCTATAAAGCTGTGGTGGCTCAAGTGGTTAAGACGCTGAACTGCAGGCTGTGGAAGGTCGGTAGTTCAGCGGTTCGAGACCCGAGTGTGCCGCATGACGGAGTGAGCTCCCGTCTCTAGTTCCAGCTCCTGCCAACCTAGCAGTTTCAAAGCAAGAAATTGCAAGTAGATAAATAGGTACCGTGTTTTCCCGAAAATAAGACACTGTCTTATATTTATTTTTTTCTCAAGAAGACACACTAGGGCTTATACCACAAATGCATTGAAATCCTGCTAGGGCTTATTTTTTGGGTAGGTCTTATTTTCGGGGAAACAGGGTACCACTACAGTGGAAAGGTAACAGCGTTCCGTGCGCCTTGGTGTTTAGTCATACCGGCCACATGACCACGGAAATGTCTTTGGACAGCGCTGGCTCTTCGGCTTTCAAACGGAGATGAGCACCGCAACCCTAGAGTCGTATTCGACTGGCTTTCG